ATATCATGCGAAACAAATATTTTTTGAGTATCTAGATTATAGAGTTGATATTCTTTTAATGTGATAAGAATATCCAAGAAATACACATTTCGTGTGTAATGTGGAACTAAATTTGTATTTTTTCGGTGCTAAGTTAGAAGCATAACATAAGCATCCAAAAACCTTAAGATGTTTGTACTAAGAAACTGAATTATAAAGAAGCACAAATGAAGCTTTCTTATTGATGACCAATGAAAATATATAATTGATAAAATGAACTCCATGTAGTACGCAGTCAACCCAAAATTTTATCAAAAGATTACCTTGAAATCACAAGGAACGAGTCACATTTAAAATGTATTGATGTTTTCTTTCTATAATACCATTTTGTTGAGGTGTATATGGACACGAACATTAATGTATTATATATTTTGATGCAAGAATTCATCTATGTTGAATTTTTTTCCATTGTTAGTCTGTATACATTTAATTCTTTTACTAAATTATGTTTGAACTAAAGCAAAAAAATCAATCATTATTTTCCTCGCTTCTGTTTTGTTCTTCATAAGGTACAATTGTAATAGCCCGAACCCCAATATCGGTGGGTACGGACGTTTGCATAATATTTTCAACTAGTGAAACTGGTAAATATTAAATATGCAGTGGAATTATAATTTGTATGACATGAATGAGGGTTATAGCTATTTACTTAAAGAATATTTTGATGATATTCACACAAGGTGCGAATGTATTACTTTCTAATGTTATATATAAAAGTTGTATAATAGAAATAGCTGGGAGAAAACTAGATATTATTATCTTGTTTTGTTAAACTCTATATTTTGATCTCATGTTACGTATATATAAATATTATATATATCACATGGGATATTAGATTTTGTGTTAAATTTTTTAGCTATACATATGTATGTTTTGTAGGCCTATTGGATGAAGAATGGTATGAGTAGGTTTGTGACATTGTCATCACTTCCAAGTAGAGATTTCTTTTGTGTTCCCATGGCAAGGTTTTACCCTCATTCTCTTGCTCTCCCTATTGATCTCTCTCTCTCTCATCTTTCTCTTTTGGAGAGTCAAACATCTAGCCAGTCATTCTTCCTCTTAGCTGCCTCCATC